GTAGTAGTCGTGGTGGTGGTGGTGGTGGTGGTAGTACTGGTGGTGGTAGTAGTAGTAGTAGTAGTAGTAGTAGTAGTGGCAGGTAGTGGTAGCAGGACAGTTGTAGGACACAGTAAGAGGGTTGAGGAGGACCTACAGCTGTTTCAGGGAAAGTTTAGGGGGGTTTGGGGTGGGATCTAGGAGGGATTTCGGAGGGTTTAGGGAAATTTTGTTCACGACAAGATAACTACCAAGAAACAAGCCGCCATTTTGAGGAGTTGCTCCTTCATTCTACACCCCACACACTCACAACTTGAACCCCAAGTAGGCCCTAAACCCCGTGTATGCTTCCCTGAAGCCAGACGCACAGCTGCTGAAAGGCAACCAGACATCTCCGATCTCAGGCGCGCGACAGAAATCGAGATTTCGGGGCTCGGCCCGGCTAGCCGAGCACATGGGTTTAGGGTTTAGGGTTTAGGGTTTAGGGTTTAGGGTTTAGGGTTACAGGAATCCCTGAAAATGACTTACTTGGAGGATCATGGCACTTAGTAGGTAAGGTTATACCTATTCCTTAATTGGGGTTATAATTGCTTATAAGTATAGTTACCTTATTCATAACCCTAGTTACTAAGTCCCATGATCCTCCAAGTAGGGTATGTCAGCTTAGGGCGAATCTACAACCCCCAGGCCCCTAGCCCACTACCTGAAACCCTACGCACTACACCGTCTGGTGCCCATCCTATGTTAGTGCTGCCAAGCCCGTAAGCTCAAACCCCTCAGAAGGAACTCATTTCTTGGGATCGACTTGCTTTCTGGCCATAGGACCATCGCCATAATGCAAATACCTCAGAAAGCATTCCTTGCTCAGGTCGACTTGCTTTCTCTTGCGAAACGACCATATAATATATTCAATCACTTCAACACAACCTTAAACCCTAAACCGTGAGCATCGCAACGAGGGTGCGGGGAAACCGTACTCATCTGCTCGGAAGACATGTTTTGACGTGGGGGGACAAGATTCCACGGATTTCCTTCCAAAGGTCCTCAGAGACCCTTCCCTTAAGGTACTTATAGGGTTTACAATGGGTTTGGGGGTATAGAGTTTGACTCTCAAGTTTAAGTCCTGCGTCCTGACTACACCCAAAACCTTAAACTCTCAACTCGGCTGTCCAAACCATACGCAGTGTTGTCGTAGCCACGCGCAACCGGGTCACCAAACCCGTCCACCCAGCTGGTAGTTGCAAAAGTATCTAAGCTAAACTCAGAACAACTCTCCTGCGCCCCCCTTTTAACCTGCTTGCTCCGTTCTTGCTCAGCTTGTCTAGCTGTCCTTCAGCATACCGTGGTCCCCTTACCATGACGTTTTTTTCTTGCAGCACTTCACCCCAGGCACTCCAAGCGCCCGCCTGTTAGCATTGCTTTAAGTTGCTGCTGTTTAAACAGGTCAGTTATAGGGGCTTTCAGCAGTCGAAAGATTTTGCGAAATCATTCCGCTTTGTTGAGGGCCACTCTACAATCGCGCAAAGTCATATTCAAAGCCCCTATAAAGCCCCAATGCCCTTCACCCTGAACTTCCAGCAAGCCTAAACCCTAAGCCCGAAAATCCTTGAAACACAAACCCCAAACCCTAAACCCTAAACCCTAAACCTAAAAATCCTTGAAGCCACAAACCCCAGACCCGAAACCCTAAACCCCCAAAATCCCTGAAACCAGAAACCCCAAACCCTAAACCCTAAACCACCAAAATCCTTGGAAACCAGAAACCCCAAACCCTAAACCCTAAACCACCAAAATCCCTACAAACCACAAACCCCAAACCCTAAACCCTAAGCCACCAAAATCCCTGTAAACCACAAACCCCAAACCCTAAACCCTAAACCACCAAAATCCCTGTAAACCACAGACCCGAGCTGCGGAAGCAGCGCCAGGTGACTGAGCTGGTCGTCGACGATCCTGACTCGGCCCGAAGCCTAAGGGTTTAGGGTTTGGGGTTTAGGGTTTAAACATTCCGTTTACCGTAAGGCTCCCTGAACCGGTTTAGGGTTTAGGGCTTAGGGTTTAGGCCTACTACAGGTCCCTAAATAATTAAATATAGTATTTTTTGGGAGTCCTTGTTATAGTTATAGTAGAATGGGCCCCAAAACCCTATTCTAATGATCAAGGCTCCTACATTTAGGCCTACTATAGCTTTCTAAATAATTACCTATAGTATTTTTTGCGGGGGTTCCTTATTATAGTTATAGTAGAATGGGCCCCAAGACCCTATTCTAATGATGAAGGCTCCCTAAACCCGACAACTCTATGGCTCAAAATAGCTCAACGGCCATACTCAGTGTGGTCTTTAGTCCCAAAACCCTAAACCTCTAAACCCTAAACCCTAAACCCTAAACCCTAAACCGAGTCCTTAGAGCCCTAAGCCTTCTGGCTCTGTGCTTTAAGACTTCCGGGATTGGCGCTTCAGGTTTGACGGCTTAGGGGTTTAGGGTTTAGGGTTTAGGGTTTAGGGTTTAGGGTTGGCTTAGGGCTCAAGGCTTTTTCAGTGTGTACCTATAGGCTCCATAGTAGTTTAGGGTTTAGGGTTCCTTTTTGTGGTTTTTATATTTAGGATCCTATAAGGTAATCCCAGAATGGAGCCTATATGGGTGGTGGTTTTTGAGGGCTCACGTTTGCATTTTGGGCGGTCGAGGTTTGAGGGTTTAGGCTGTTTAGAATTACAACAGAATTTTAAGGCCTGGTCAAGTCCTGGCGTTTCTTGTTTATTTGCTTTCTTGTTCTGCTGCGCAAATTATTGAACTGCTGTGCCAGTTTGTTTCCCTAAGGGTCCAAGTACTTAATAATCATATACTCTCCCAAATATTAACCTACATAGCTGCTATATCTTAATCCCAAACAAGTACCTTATTATTGGGTCCTTTGGACCTACCGTCCAAGAGTCCGAAACCGTATTCGAGCTTTACGGTTTGAGTTGTGAGCTGAGCGTGTCCCTCTCGGCTCCGAATGGTCCACAACTCGCGCCCCGCTGGAATCCTAGTCATGATGTCGAAGGCTCCATGTACGCATTAGTATATACTTTGGCCTTAAAGTAGTCCCTATACAGGTACTTTGGGGCCAAAGTATATACTATTGGGGTACATGGACCCTGATATGCTGAGCTGCACTGATCCCACGGATTTTGGGTGTGCAAGGACCCACTTGGAGGCCCTTTTGACCATAACCCACCTTACTAACCCTACTTACTAAGTCAAAAGGGCCTCCAAGCACTCCCCCCCAGAACGAACCCTAAACCCTGAACCGTTCAGCTTCTCAGCACTATCAGCTTCATGGCTCTCAAGATATGGCAGAGATGCAAACACGCGAGTACGCACCGCCTTGTACACAAGGATGGTATACGTCAGACAGATAGGCTTACTGATAGATTACCTAAAGGGTCCATGTACCCAAATAGTATATACTTTGGCCTTTAAGTAGCCCCTACATAGGTACTTTGGGGGCAAAGTATGTACTATTTGGGTACATGGACCCTTAGGGTTAGGGTGTATTGTCCTTATGCTGCAACAGGTGATTTGATGCGCGTTTGAAGTCTCGACCCTAAGCCGAAAATCCTGAGCCTTAGACTTGTAACCTTATAGACGCTTGCAGTGAAGGTTGTGGGCATCCACCTGGGGCCTGCGGGCTATTTGGATCTGAAGGCTCGCCGGCTTAGGATTCGGGATTCAGGGTTCAAGTTTGGGGATTACCGGGTTTTGGGTACCGGAGAGAAAGGTGACGAGGGCTGTAACGTGCAGGTGCACCCTTCAGCAGAGAGGGCTGCTCGATATAGACTCTAAGGAGCTCTTGGCCTTTGTCCAAACATCCTCCGTCCAACAATCCCCTTAAACCCTAAACCCATAAATTCTGCATTGAACCCGCTGTTAGGCACCCGCAGAAGATGACACAATGGCCAGCACCGTTCCAGTTTCCAGGAGTTTAGGGTTAGGGTTTAGGCTTTGGGGTTTACCGACGGGTATTGAACATCTGCCCCGGGAATCGGCTCGAACTTGCAGGCTCCAATGCGAGCCTTCGACAATGAATACATCCGGTAAGCAAGCTGACAACATCATCGTAAGCACTACGTATTCTTGGTGTTCTTCTGGTTGGCTCTTAGGACTTTAACTTTTTGGGTTTCTATATGAACCATGATAAGGAGACGAAAAGTTTAACTTTTTGGAGGGGTTCAGAAGTCAGCCAAGTATTAGGGTTCTTCTGTCGGTCAATGAAATTATACATCCAACAACCCAGTTCTAATTGCCAAGGCATCTCTGTTACACTGTTGATATGGGAGTTTCCGAAAACAAGGGACACCTTATTTTAGGGTCCTTATAATAAGGATCCTACTATTTAGGGTACTATATTACAGTCCCCTATTTTCCGAAACGCCCATATAGGGGCCTAAATACTTGGAGTTTATTACGAATACCAAGTTGGAGGTTCCCCGAAACCCTATTCCCAATTAGTTAAGGCCCCTATATTACACGTTATCATGATCCCTAAACCCCAAACCCTCAGCCCTAAACCCCAAAACCTATTTTATAACAACCATCGGGTCAGTTCTCCTCCATTCACGAGAGCCGTCGTCCCAAAGCCCTAAACCTACCGGGACCCTAAAACCATATGACCAATAGGGAGGTCGGAGTGATTGCCTGTACGACGGTTGATGATATAAATCCTGCATTACCCATGAGTTAGCAAGGAATTTACCATCATTCCCATAGTTCAGGGTCCTTAGGGTAATGCAGGATTTGTATCAGCAACAGTAGCCTTTACTTGGCGTTCTTCTGGTCGGCTCTTAAGACTTTAACCTTTTGGGTTCTATATGAACTGTAACCCCTAAACCCTAAACCCTAAACCTGAAACCGTAGGCTAAGCGTTTAACTTGCAGGAGGGGTTCAGAAGTCAGAGCAAGTTCAGGGCTCCTCATTACACTAATACTGTCATAGTCCCCGAAACCCCTCTTAGGGTTTAGGGTTTAGGGTCTGAGGCCTCTAGATTAGCTTGTGGCTGAGCTCTGGAAAACCCCTGGACCAGTTCCCCAGTTGCCACCGGCTCGGACGGAGGTTTGTGGTGATAGGGTCTGAGGTTAAAGAGGCACCTGCCGACAAAGTCGTAAAACCGGATCCTCCGGTTTGCAAGGTTCCTGGAGATACTCCCCACAAACAACCCTAACCCCCTAGTTCAGCCATGGTGCGCTATCGCCGCCGCCGGTGCATCATCTATGGGGCTGCGGCTGTGGCTGCCACTTGTGTCACTTCGCCTGCTGCGGTGATGACCGTGCAGTCACTGGTAACTTGGGTCTGTTAAACGAGCTTTAAGGAAACAGACCGAATATAGGGGCCTGAATAAATAATTGCTTACCTATACTATGTTTGGGGGGGGGGTCCTTATTATAGTTATAGTACAATATACCTCCAAACCCTATTCGAATCAATTTTTAAGGCCCCTACATTACCTTGTGGTCTCTCGTGTATTGTGAACCTTCTTTGACGTAGCTAGATCGAGGCCCCGCCCTAAACCCTAAACCCTAAATGGGGATCCAACAACCCTATTGTGTTATGTTGGTTAAACGGTCAAACCCTATACTTTGGGGGTCAGAACCTACTATTTTTGTAGGGTTGCCCTAAGCCCTGAACCAAGCAACTCGCCACCCAGGTGAAACAAGGCCGCAGCGACTGTGGGCTTGCTTGGCAGCTTTTTTGGGGTTGAAGGGTTCAGCGTTTGGGGTTTAAGGGTTCACAGGGCTTAAGGTATTGGGTTTAAGGGCTTAGGGTTAAGGGATCTTTTGCCGCTTGTTCAGGCCTGCTGTTTAGATCCGTCCTGCTCCCTTGTTCTATCATCCAGACAAAAACAAGCATCGAGGAGATTGAGATTGCTATTGGTCTCTTGTTCTTGAATGCTCCCAGAGGGTCCAAGTACCCAAATAACATCTACCTTGGCCCTAAGAACCTATATAAACACTGCTTTTGGGCCAATAATATATATACATGTATATTTTATGTGGGCAGATGGACCCGTAGGGGCTATTTGTTCTCTTCGTTTGTTCGCGCTGAGCCTTTTGCAGGTGCACCGTCTTTAGCCGCCCTTATAGTTGGTCTGCTCCTCTACGCTCCTCGGATGTCGGTGGTATCTTTGTCGCGTCCTTTTGAGGTTGAGGGCTTCAAGGTTCAAAGTTTCGAGCCATCGGCTGTCTAGGTATGCTTTTGTACAGTCCAGTGCGTTCGGGATCAGTGCTAGGTGTTTCTAGGGGCTTTGGTATATAGGTCGTTAAGCCCTTAACCCTGCCTGGTCTTTGGTTCCTGGGGTTTCAGGACACCGAGCAGGAGATTGAGCATGTTGCCGGCGACACCCTAAACCCTAAACCCCGGCCGTCCAAATAAGAACCCCCGAACCTTTAAGCCTCCCTGAACGAGGGTGTGCTGCATCTGGGGCCATCAGCTGCATTCAACTCCGTGTGATTATAGCTACCACCACAACGAGATTGCAGGGCCCTTGTCTATGAAGCAGCAGCAGCACCACCACCACCACCACCACCACCACCACCACCACCATTGCTTTAACCATCTCCGCCCGCCACCACCAGCACCAGCACTGCGACGACGACGACGACCTGATGCCTTTGCAGTGCTCTGCTGGGCAGTGGTGCGCTGGTGCACATACTGTATCATGGTCACAGTCGCCAAGATGGTGCATTTCCTATCTCTAGCACTCCGTTGGATCACTCCTGAATTCACGATTGTATCACCTAATCAAAAATCCCCCATCCCAAACCCTCTAAACGCTAAACCCTAGACCCCTAAGCCCTAAGCACCATGTAAGAACTTATAAGCCCTAAACGACTCAACCCCCCATAGAACCTGTCAGACCGCTGAAGCGAAGGCTTTCTCGGCCGAGGGCAGCAGCGTTCCTATTCTGCTGGTCTTCTTTGGCGCGCAGACAGGGATGACCTCGGGCTGACCTGGGGGCCTTAGGCATTGAGGTTTGGGACTTTGTCTCAATCGTTTGGGTTACCCGTTTAGGGTTTAGGGTTTAGGGTTTAGGGAAGGTTTAGGGTTTCAGGGTTCAGGAGTTGGTATTCGGGGGTGTTGATTCCTGGCTGTTCGCGAGGAGCTGGGGATGCCGAGAGGGTCCATTTATACCAAGGGACGATAGGAGGGACCCCTAGAAGGGGCCCTTCGTCCTAATACCCTATATAACCCTTATATACCCCTTATAGTGTCTCATAAAGCCCCTGTATAACCCCAAGGGTCCCTTTAACGGTCCCTCCTTTAGTCCCTTGATTATACTACTTCAATGCCATGATAAGGATGGTCTTTTGGGGGCCTCAGTCCATGATAGCAGTACAATGTGGAGCCTTATACCCTAAACCCGAAACCCTTATGGGACTCTTGTAGTACCCTTTTAATATAGTACCCATGTAGGACCCTGAAGGACAACGGCCCTAAACCCTAAACCTCTAAACCCTTGCACAACTCTTGTAGTACCCTTGTAGAGCCTTTTGTCTTTTTCTTAGTTCCCCAATACCCGACCTGTAAACTTTTTGGGCTCTTATGGTTTAGTAGTAATCTGAAACTTTAACCTTTCTATTTCCCTGGCTCATTGGGGAAGCAAGACTAAGCCCTAAGCCCTAAACCCTAAGCCCTAAACCCTAAACCCTAAACCCTAAACCCTAAACCCTAAACCCTAAACCCTAAACCCTAAACCCTAAACCCTAAACCCTACCCAGAGGCTCAAGAGCTGCCCAGAAGGCAAGGTCGCCGATGCCAAGAGCTTCCAAAGCTCAGGGCTTCTACTTGGAGCCCTTGTAACCCAAAGGTCCTATAGGGTTTAGGGTTTAGGGTTTAGGGTTTAGGGTTTACTTGGAGGCCCTTTTGACTTAGTAAGTAGGGTTAGTAAGGTGGGTTATGGGGATTATAATAGGGCTCCTGGGGGATACTAAGTAGACTTACTAAGTCAAAAGGGCCTCCAAGTAGGGTTTAGGGTTTAGGGTTTAGTCCAATCATTGTGGCCCATATCACAGGGTTTTGGAGTAGTTCTGAATTGCAGCCTAAAGGACAAGGTTTGG